TCATTTACTCATCTTCATGTCTTTCCAAACCAGTATGGCTTTCTTTCTTCTGCTTTTTTGTCATTTTTACAGCTTGACAGCTTCTGTCGACATTCACTTGCATTGTAAGGGAAGAGAAGACATTGTGCTTGACATCTCCAATTGCGTTTCACGAAAGAAAGAAAATCATAGGGTTTGGAACGACATGAGGGTGAGTAAATTATGACAGCATCTTCATTTTTAGGTTTACGTTTCTTTAAAGCAAGGTGCTCCTTAAAGGAATAGTTCACCCCAAAAAGGAAAATTTGCTAAAAAGGTGCTCACCCCCAGGCTATCCAAGATGTAGATGAGTTTCTTCATCAGATTTGGAGAAAATTAGCATTATATTACTTGATCACCAATGGATCCTCTGCAGTGAATGGGTGCCGTCAGAATGAGAGTCCAAACAGCTGAGAAAACCATCACAATAATTTACAAGTAATCCACACAACTCCAGTCCATCAGTTATTAAGGCTTTTTAAACTTAAACTGTTGATTCTGGCCAAAACACGAGTCCATAATCCATAACAACGCTTTCTCCAGTGAAAAAGTCCATTCCCTGTTGTCCTGTCAACAAAATCCACTGACATATTTGTTTAGAACTTTTTTGGACTGTTTCCTCTTGTAAACGGAGTCATGTGGATTACTTGTGGATTATTGTGATGTTTTTATCAGCTGTTTGGACTCTCATTCTGACGGCACCCATTCACTACAGAGGATCCATTGGTGAGCAAGTAATGTAATGCTAAATTTCTCCAAATCTGTTCTGATGAAGAAACAAACTCATCTACATATTGGATGGCTTGAGGGTGAGTACACTTACAGCAAATTAAAATTTTTGAGTGAACTATCCCTTTAATAAGATGAAGTATGTGTGACTTTTTCCCTGTCATACCATCAGTAACTACTGTACCACAGGAATCATAGGCAGCATGCCAGATCCTCACACATGCAGAGTGGAAGCCATTTTCATATTTTAATAGTGAAGATTATGCAATCAGTGAGAGGAGGAAGAGTCGTTCAGGTCTTCTAGTGAGAGGAGTAGAAAAGGCAATCGATAGGAGAGAGAAAGGGAGGGATTGAATGTAAAATGAAAAACTGAGAGAATACTTATTCAACACCTACAATCGAGAATCACTGAAACCAGCGCTCTTTCCAAATCAACAAAAACCCTAATCACGTTGGACAGAAGTTTGGGTGACCAAAGAACAGAGGAACATTGATTATAGTTGCAAAAGCTGCTTATAGTTGACCCAGAAATCATTTTATCATTTATTTCAATCATGACAACTCTCGGATGATTTTAGCAATGGTTATGATAATGTTAATGTATTTGGTCTTGGCGGAATAGACTGCTACGCTGCTGCTGCTGCTGAATTGCTTCTGCTGTTGGTTATTGCTGTTGTTGTAGATTATTGCTGCTGCTGCAAGCATGTACGGGAACTTGCTACTGCATACGGCGATACAGTGCTGTGAGTATTTAAGACATCCTGCTGCTGCACAAATAGCATATAAAATAACCCATTGCAGATCTATACAGGTGGAGCTGGGGAAGGTGGAGGGTTTCAGAGAACCCTGAAAGCGCGCTGCAAATGCTCAAGTGAATGCTAACCAGCCATTTAAATGTAAAGGCTGCGTATATGCAACATGAACCAATCAGCTTGTGCCAGGTCGTTTAACGCTGTGAATATCATCAGTTACGTTGATACCCGTCAGCCTGCGCCATCTAGAGTTTCATGACTGAACTGTGGGGGTTGGGGGAGATTCAAGAATTGAATTCTTTAAAACAAATTGTAATAACCCCAAACGTTTAAACCATAGTGTATAGATATTTTTTTCAGTCTTCATGTCCTTTATTTGTTTTATTAACCAGGTCATTTTAGATGACTTCATTGTGTCTGTTATGCAACAAACGCGTAATGTTCCTCCTGAGAACCACTGAGGAACCCACCATAAAAGTATTAAGAAGCAAATGAGGCAGAGTGTTTTATTTATGAGCCCATGCTGGCCACACGCTCTCCTAAACTGCAGTTTTTACTCTCCCCTGCAATTAACGCAGCTGTTTTGATGAACGACATCAGCGTGAAGTAGATGTAAGTTTGCGGGGCCATTATAGTTCGGGGTGATAACTTGTACGGGAGTATAATAAGCAGACAATTTCTCCTTGTTTGTTGATCATTAGTGGTAATTAAGACTAATCTCTCTCCGTCTTTCAAATTTAGCAGGAAGCGCATTTGTAGCCATGGTGACTGTTACAATCTCAGCATGGCGTGAGAAGTGTCTCGGTCTTGGATTTTTAGATTAGTGGGAAGTTTCCTAGTAAATGCTTGGCAGTGACACTTATAGAGGCTCAAGGTCCGGTCCAAACAAAACACACTCGTGACATTTCATCGAAACATCGGAGGATCTTCCGCCAGGGTCGACACTTCGGCTCCCTTTAGTGATAATGGCTTAATAAAATATTTAACAGGCTTTAGCATCGCAGTCCTGCGGCCATAGAGACGGACACTCTGCTCATCTCGTCACGCTAATTGATATTATTATGTGTCCAGGGTTCAGATACGCCTGCTGAGATCTAAACTGAACATTTTGGGGGATGAAGAGATTACATTTTATCTAATGATGAACTGATGGTGGTGGGCAGCACTAGACACCCACAGCTCGGTGAGTTTACCCACAATGCTCTGTTTGAGAGGGAGAGGTGCGCCATCTGCTGGTGAATGTGTTTATTGTGGCGCTAAATGTGTGGGAGTGAAAACTGTAGTAGGTAATGAGGTGAAAAGTCAGAATGATTTTAGGAGCCCACCAGCAGGACTGATGTGGGATGATACTATAATTCAATGCCTTTTGTGCCAAAATACGTCATAAAAATATTTTATGCTTTTTTTTTTTTTTTTTTGCTGTTGTGTCTTTTCGTAGTTAATCTCTTCAACTGAGTGAACATGAAGACCAGTTGCATTTGCCACATAACATTCTGAGGGAAGATTTTCAACTATGTAAGTTTGTGTAATCTACTGCAGTCAAAATAAAATAATTAATATTTTTGTAAAGCAACATTTTTGTCTTTTAATTCTTTTTAACCTTTAATCTTCTATGCATACTAAAAAGGTACTACAATGTCTTTTTTGGACATGATACCATGACAATATCATTCCTGTTTAGTCATGCAATGTGGTATTACCATGGTATTTTTCAAAACTACATTACTAAAATATTTTTTGAAAGTAATTAATACTTCTTTTCAGCAAGGATGCATTAAATAGATCAAAAGTGATAGTAAAGACTTGTACATTGTTACAAAAAAAGTATTTTTAAATATATAATAAATAAATGAAAAAAATGGTCACAGAAGAAAATATGTGATAATATAACATGTTCTTTGAGCAGCAATTCAGCACATTAGAATGATTTCTGAAGGATCATGTGACTCTGAAGATTGGAGTAATGATGCTGAAAATTCAACTTTGCATCACAGGAATAAATTCTATTTTAAAATATATTAAAATAGAAAACAGTTATTTTAAATTGTAATAATATTTCACAATTTTACGTTTTTTTACTGTATTTTTGATTAAATAAATGCAGCCTTGGTAAGTAAAAGTCTTCTTTAAAAAACATTAAAAAATCTTACCAACCCCAAACTTGGAGTACCGTGATTTTATTATCTAATGCAATGGGAACACCTTAGTACCTGTTTGTATGGGAAGGTAAAAATCAGATAAAATCAGCTAAAATATATCAAAAAAAGAATTAAGAATGTCTTGGCAGAGATATTCTGTACATTTGTATTTATTGTTACTCACTCCAAACATCAAGTGAGGCACAGGAGTTTAGTGTTCACACTGCAACCAAACAACACACTGGAGACAGATAGCGCTGTGCAACAAGACAAGTGACACAAAACAGTTTCACAGGAAACAGTGTAGAAAAGAGTCTGTTAGCATGAGATGTTAAGCTGTGAGTCTGTGCAGGTCATTTCTAGTGACTGAACTTGTCATGCCTGTACAGATGTTAAAACAGATTCGGTGTGACATGTCAGTCTGTCATATGAACCATCAAACCTCACAGAGTGTTGTGAATGAAGTTAATCCAATGTTTAAAAAAATGCTTAAATTATACTAAAGTCAACATGAAATGACATTCACAACCCATTTAACGTATGTGATATATTTCTCAGTAAAACAGGGCAGAACTTCCGGGAGTCCCATTGGGAAATGACTGGATAGAGAAAAGAGGGTGTTTCTGTACCAGAATGAAGCCCGAGATATGAAAGTTAGGAGCATTTTGATCACAAAGGTAATGCTTTTATTTCCCCAAAAACTATAGTTCTGTGCTATTTTGGCCATAAACTTAACACAATTCCTGTGTGGATAAAGTTTCATGTTGATGGAAGATTGCAAAGACAATTTTTCATGTTGACGTAAAGCCATAAGCCAGAGTTTGGGCATGAGATTTAATCAAACTGCACATTTATATGTGTTCAAATGTTTAGGGGCAGTACAATTTTACTTTTGAAAAAAAAAAAAAAAACTTTATTCATCAAGGATGCATTAAATTGATCAAAAATGAGAGTAAAGACATTTATGATGTTACAAAAGATTTCTATTTCAAATCAATGCTGTTCTTTTGAACTTTCTATTCATGAAAGTAGATTTATCACATTTCCACAAATTAAGCAGCACACCTATTTTCATTCATAATAATAAGAAATGTTTCTTTCGCAGCAAATCAGCATTATAGAATGACTTCTGAAGGATCATGTGACACTGAAGACTGAAGACTGAAAATTCAGCTTTGCATCACAGGAATCAATTACATTTTAATATATATTCAAATAGAAAACACTTATTTTAAATTGTAATAATATTTCACAATTTTACCGTATTTTCAATCAAATAAAAGCAACCTTGGTGAGCATAAAAACATTAAACATTCAAAAACATTAAAACATCTTACTGACCCCAAATTTTTGGACAGTAGAGTGTGCATAAATAACATTGTTTTTAATAAGGTTCGGTATACAATAGACTCATGAACAGGTCATCCAGTCACATCCTCCTTTGAAGGGGTCAATAAGGTCACATGACCATTACAGTTCTAACTCAACTCTTATCCATTAAAGAAAACAGGACTGGAACCTTACAAATAAATCTTTGAGTCCAATAAAGCAGCTGAAATGTCAACTTATAGATAGGCTGTATGCTGGCCAGGAAACAAAAGGCTGAGAGTTTACCGTTACTGTGACATTAAAAACTGCAGTGCAGTTACATGATGGTGACCCTCTCAGGTGAAACGTGGGCAGCTGGTCTCTCGTGGTTGGTGCGGCTCTGATTGGAGTCTAATCCACGCCTGATCCGTTTCAGCTTCTGGCTCACACAGGGAAGCAGCAACACCACTTTTCCGATTATCACCGTGACGGGCAGAACCAGGGCCAGGACAAAATTGGGCGGCATGTAGAAGCGATAAGACTCCTCCAGAAACGCCCGCTGCCAGCCGAAGAGCAGAGCGTGGAACGTGGAAATGAGCAGGGCGATGTAACCTAGAGTGGACTGACAGGATATAGACGCCCGTTTGACATCTTATTTGACTGAGGACCAAAGAACACTGAAGCTGCAAGATTGGAGGATGGAGATTGTCTTACCTGGATAAAGCTAAACTCTCGCCAGTTGAGTGCGTTGTGCACCGATGGAATGGAAGTGACAGCTAATAGAGAGAGGAGCCCCAAACCCATGATGCCAAAGGAAACGTACATCTCCACTCTCCAAACTTCCTCTTCATTCCACGAGTTCTCTATGTTGGCATGCACCTACAGAGAAAGAAAAAATAAGATTTGTTTATAGGATATATTTTTTTATTTAAATTGTTATTTTATTTGACTAAAGCATTTTACATTCATGCTACTATACTATATACTTATACTATACTTACAGTATATAAATGTAAATATGAAATTATTTACATGTATGTTAAACATTATTTTAAATGTACACTTATTTATGACATGTTATAAGTTTTATAGGGTTTGGTGCATAA